TGAGTCTCCATCCCTGGAGGGATTTAAAAGCCAGGTAGATGTGGTGCTCGAGGACATGGTTTAGTGGTGGACTTGGCAGTGATAGGTTACGGTTGGACTTGATGATCTTAAGGGTCTTTTCCAACCTTAATGATTCTATGATTCTATGACTCTGGTGCAGGTAACAGCCCTCGGTGTCCTGTACTCGGAGAAACCACCAGCTGAGGGCACTGCAGAAACTGCCTTCCTCCAAGAAACCCCATTTGGGGTCCACCACCGTGCCCACCATGGGCTGCACCCCGTACGCGCAGCATTACAGACCCCAGTACTGCTCTCGCCTTTAGATGAGCAGAGGGTGCACAGCAACCTGCAAAAGTGAACTGTTAGCTGCCATGCAGTGGCAGAACTGGGACAGGCAAAATACCATTTTGAACTTTAAAAAGCTCCTAAACCACCCAAAAGAATCCAACAAAGGTGAGGACAGTTCTCTATGCTCTCTCTCCACTACAGTTCTAACACATGCAATGCCACGGCTAAAAAGCCTGCACCACCTGATGCCTTGGGGCTTGTTACTTATTTAAAATAGACGCATTTAAGAGCAGAGTGGGACACCTCAGACCACATTTTCTACAAGACCTTGCAAGGTAATTTAAAAAAGCTAAACCCAAACCAAGCAGTACCTTCTTCTGCATTTGTGTAACTGCAAAGCATGAGGGAGAAATACAATAGAGCGTGATCTTGTGTAAGTAGAAATAACAGAAAAGTGAGAGGTACTAAAACAGGTATTTCTTGTTTGCGCTTAACTGGACTTGGCAAGGGATGGACTTTTGCCTTTGTCGGCTTCAGAAAAATCCTCACATTTGTTGTTTCCCCTTTCTGGAGAAGAAGGAAGCCCTGCACTTGGGACCAGGTCCTGGGATCAGAGCGTGCGCAGCGCTGCACTGGGCTGCCCAGCAGCCAGCATGCGTCACATCGTGGGCTGCGTTGCATCGTGGGCTGCGTCGCATCGTGGGCTGCACGCGGAGCTCGCTCAGGCAGCAAACCCAGTGCTGCTGTGGTGACAGCTCTGCTCCCCGGGCACACAGCACCCTCAGTGGGAGGAAGGACCAGCCACCAGGGTCAGCCTGGGACAGTTCCTCAGGTGCCGGTGCTCCTGACCAAATGATCCAGACCATTATTATTTCTAGTGTCTCCCTGTCCCCGCTTCCCCTTACTCCACGCAGTCTGTGATGACGCAGTGCCACATCCAGGTTGTGACCTGGTCTCTTGGGTGTCACGTACCAACCTAACAACAGAGGGAAGCAGCACTCTGAAAGCAAGGTCCTGCCAAGAGCGCTTTAACAGGACATTTCATTTGTTAATGTCCGGCTCCTAGCCCTGCCAAGAATGCCACCAGCCCAGAGGAGTGGGGCACGGGGTGCCCTCCGGATATTTAGGCATTCACACGGGTACTGCTTCAACTCCAAAGCAGCTCCTCCTGGGCAGCTCTCAACGCCAGGTCACTAGAAAAGAGCGTGCAGAGCCTGTGCGTTCACTTAATTTGATTAGGAAATGGAGAGTTGCTTAATTGAGGCCACTCTAATTAGAGCAGCAGAGGTCCGGACCAGCGGGAGCCCTTGAGAGACCGGGGGCAGGAGGGGCAGAAGTGGCCTCATGGAATACAGAGAGCTTGCAGCGGCAGAGAGGGGGGTCAGCAGCAAAGGCTGGCCTACAAGGCTACGCTCACCACCACTTCTTCCACCCTCCCCTGCCAGCGATGCACGCTCCCAGCCTGCTGCAGAAGTCTCCCTGAAAACAGGGGGAGAGTGGAGGGCGCACCTTAAAACCTGCAGCCCAGGTAATGAGCTACGTAGTCAGAGCCAGAGCGGTCTCTCAGACCACAGGAGCAGAACCACACCCTGAAGGTCCTGTTACATCTGGGCACGGACGGAGGCAGGTCTGACAGGGGAGAGGGAGTGCAGAGCTGTGTTCTGGTCCTGCAAGATGCAACACCAGGCGGTGGAACTGCTGATAGACTGACGATGAAGGGGCAGGAGTGCTGCGATGAGAGGTTTACACTGATTTTACTTTTCTGTGAAGGTCTCTAAAGCAGCATTATTTTCCTTTGAAGAGCATAGCTAGAGAAACAGGCCTGGGCAGGGACACGGCTCTTGCTCTGCCTCGCACGGCTGTGCGAGGCATCCAGCGTGCTGAGGGTGAAGGGATCCCCCTGGAGCTGCTCTTACCATTCCCATCGGGATCGGCCTTGACTGCAGTGTACATCTCCCGGATGTTTTCGGGGGTCATCCACCTGCCATTCCCAAGCCGGGTGTGGGTCAACACCTGAAATTCATAAATGGATCAAGACCGGGCACCGGTTTCTTGTACTAACGAAACCCTACAGATTCCCCGCTTGAGGCCTGGCGGGCTCTCCTCTGCAGAGCATCGGCCAGCCAGGCGTCAGCACGTCTCTGCAGAAAGACTGCAGTGAGAATCATCTGGCAGCCACACACAGTGTGTGGCTGATGAGTGCTGTTATTTCCAGTTTAGGTCATGGCAAATGACTGCTGGGACTCGATTAACCAGTCATGAGATGGAAGAGGCACAGCTTTTTCTCTTGAAGGGAAAGTAAAGCTACTGATGATAAAAGTGAACGCTTTTACTTGTCCAAGATAAGGGCTTGGAACAAAGCGCTTCTGTTCGACGTGGACAGAGAGATGCAGTATCCCGGAGAGCTCTCAGCAGGTTCTGACCTCCGGAGAAAGGGGCCCTGCCCTGGGTTGTCGCTGGCACAGATCCCCGTACTCCACAGTGCGGGGTGCCCACAGGACAGCACGCAACCCCAGCCCCCCTGAGATGGGCGCCTGGGGAGGGACATCCTTGAAGTGCCAGCGCCCGCCCTGACGCACCCCACCACGCAGGGCAAGGGTGCCGAAGAGCTGTGGACAGGGTGCTCATTATCCCCCTCCAGGGTCATTAATGGAGGTGGCTTTGCTGATATCTGGTCAACTGAGCGCAGTCAGTCCCCACCGGCTGCACAAAGCAGCCCTACACTACGAACTCCCTTCCCTGGGACACCCAGCAAGAGGAAACGCACAGCACAAAGAACATTTTACCCAGCATATTCAAAACACACACCTCCTGCCAAGGACCGCTGCTACCTCCCAACAGCATCGCAACTGCTGCATGTTTCCCCAGAAAATTCCACGCTGAAGGCCAGCACAAGTCTTGAGACATAAAATTAAGCAAATACTGATCGGTATATACTGGGGTTTGGCCCTGGCCAAGCACGTGAGCAATCAAGAGACAATCTGAGGAGGGGACCTGCCAGAGGGTCCCCCTGCAAACCTCCCCCGGTCTGTCCCGCACTCTACCTCTTTGAGCTGCAGCTGCCCATCCTGATTGTGATCCAGCAGATTGAAAATGTCCATCTGGCTGATTTCTATCATTTCCATGGCTTCCTCATAGTCATCCGTCGGTAGGATCTGGCTCTTCTGCAGCCCCTTCAGCTGTGCCAGATGGACGATGAGCTTGCACTCCTCCTCTGTCAGGAAGTCGGGAATTTCTGCAGAAAAAGTGTGAGCAGCAACAGTGCCTGAGGAACTGTTACAGTGGGACCCCATACTGATGGCAGGCCACTCAGAATTTAAAAAAAAAAAAAAAAAAAAAAAAAAAGGGGGGGGGGAGCGCAGTTTAGAAAATGGCTAAGTTTGGGATATTCAAACACATCCAGCCTTCTACCAGAAGAGCTCTCAAAGAGCATATGCCACACACCTGAGCTGCCGAAGGCGGGTATTTTTACAGCAGCAGTTCCTAAATGTTTGGATCCAGGGGTCAAGCCCTTAAACTCTCTCACAGATACCACAATGGACAAAGGAGTGAACAAACACGTGCATATCACATTTATTGACGACTGCTCACAAAATTTAAAAAAAAAAAAAAAAAAAAAAAAAAAGAGGTGGGGGGAGCAGTTTAGAAAATGGCTAAGTTTGGGATATTCAAACACATCCAGCCTTCTACCAGAAGAGCTCTCAAAGAGCATATGCCACACACCTGAGCTGCCGAAGGCGGGTATTTTTACAGCAGCAGTTCCTAAATGTTTGGATCCAGGGGTCAAGCCCTTAAACTCTCTCACAGATACCACAATGGACAAAGGAGTGAACAAACACGTGCATATCACCGCATATTATCACTTCAAAGGTGACATGTGGATCATGGGCTGGGAACTGCTGCTCTACAGGAAGGCAGGCTAAAAGCTTTGCGGCGGGCAGCGGTGACAGGCAGGGTTTCAGGCTTCCTCGCTCTCACGCGGAGAGGACAGCACTTTGCACAAAACCAAATGCCTTTCAGGGGAACCTGGCACAGTGCTCCACTACGAAACTCAAACAGCAAGGAAACAAATTCCAAACTTATTCCCACTCATTCCCTTGATCCCCCACTAAAAATGACCTTCTAATTTATTATTACAGGGGAAGACACCGCACATGGCGTGTGGTGTGTGCTCCATACCCAGGTAGCACCCCGGTATCACCAGCTTTCCTTTGCAGCATGACACCAGCAGCAATCACGCAATACCAGGACCCCAAGCAAATTTAAATGCAGAGGAATCCACCGACGACTATGAGGCTAAGAGATTTCCAGCTGCACGGTGCACTGGGCACGCACTTGCAAAGCGCTGGCGAGGTCCCATCCCACAGCACAGTTACACTGTGGCCCAGCAGGTTGAGAAGATCCTTTTGTCACCGCTACGGGGATCTCGTTACCAGCTGCTGAGACTTTTGAAGAGGGAAAGAAAACCCACCAAAGCAGGACAGGTTTAAGTGCTCCTAGGCCCAAGGTCCTGCTCTCCAAATCGCAGCCCCTAGAGCTCCTGCAGGCATGTGCCAAGGACACATTATATCTTCGCTATAGCAGCAATCCTCAAAGGGGGAAGGAAAAAAAAAAATAGTTAATTACTTCCATGACCTTAAATCAACCCTATCGGCTCAAACTGTCAATAAGCAGTTGGCTTCTTGCTAAGTACAGACCAGAACTAGCCCTGGAGAAAATGAGATGTTCCTGGGAAGCCCCAGAAACACAATGCAGCCAGCTGTATCCATAACACCCGCCGAGGAAATAATTTCCGCCACAGGCAGTGCAGGGTCCTTGTGCCAGAGGATGCTTCAGAGCCGGAGCTTCCGCTGGCCGGTTTGAACCTCATGGCACGGCACCAGGTCCAAACGAACCTGGCAAGCAACGCCCCCAGTATTTCCAGTTCCCCAAACTGGGCTACGATAATGACGGCTTCTGGAATCTTAATTACGTGCTGGAGGAAGGACAATCCCGCTCTTCAGTGGTAGTAACGGGATTTCGTAATGAAGTCCAGATTCTGTCAACCGGGAAGCGCACGCCGTCACACAGGTTGCAAGGTGAGGGGGTTTCCAGCTAAGCGCTGCCAATCCCGTCTGCAAACAACCCGTCTCCACAGCTGCAAATTAGTTCCTCTCTACCCTCAGCTCTCCCAAACGGTTAACTTCTGGCTGTGAGACCATCCTATCTCCCTGCCTGCTCAACAATAGATCCAGCTAAACAAATGCCTCCTAATTGACTTTGAGCAACACTTGATTGCTTTTACAAAAAACAAAAGAGAGGAAAACATTGGGGTTTATGAAATAATGACTAATCCTGGAGCAAGAGAAAGGGGATGGGTTGGAGCACTGGTGTCAAACAAAGATTCAATCTCGGCTGAAAGAGCCCCAAGACACATGGGCCAACTCATTCATCCCTCCCCAACTGCCCTCATTTCCACACCTGCTGATCTAAGCCAAACCCCTGCTAAAATCCAAACAATCGGGGCCGCTGGCAAACGAAAATTGGAGCATTGTCTTCCCCATGAGGGCTCTGAAAGGGCCGCACTTAATGAGGATGGATTGACAGAGAGGTGGCTGGGAGGCTATAAAAGGCATCCCACAGTCGGGAGCAGCTCAGTCCAGGGTGTGCTGCCCGTTTGCCCACTCCCAGCTCGTTCTGAGCATGGTCACAGCCCACCGCAGGCACCCCTCGAGGCTGGGTGGCCCATGGCTGCTGGGTCTCCTGGCACGCCTGCTACTCTGGGGCTCTCCAGGAGCCTGGGCGAGCTACCTGAGGAGATCCTCCAGCTGCACACCCATTCCACACCGCATGGCCTTGTGCTACGATATCGGCTACTCCGAGATGAGGATTCCCAACCTGCTGGAGCACGAGACCATGCCAGAGGTGATCCAGCAGTCTTCCAGCTGGCTGCCCTTGCTGGCCAGAGAGTGCCACCCAGACGCTAGGATTTTCCTCTGCTCCCTCTTTGCACCAATCTGCTTGGACAGGTAAGACGTTTTTACAAGTTATTTCAGCTGTAGCAAGTAACACCCCCCCAAGAGCGCAACTGCATTTGCCTCCCAAGAGAAAATGGGTGCTATGCCATCAGCGCAGCCCTCGAGAAGCCGTGCTTCCCCTCTCGGCGAGGGGCAATTGCATTACCCAGCAGGGACCCTCCCTCTGAAAGCAAAACATTGAGCATTTCATCTAGCAGGAGCAGAAACATTATGTTCCCTCCTCTGGATTTTCCTGCTCTCCCACCCCAGGCACTGTTGCCGTCTCCCCTGGCCACCCCTCTTGCACATTGCAGTAGCTGCTGGTACCCACCAGCTTCACCTCCCACCTCCCCTGCAGCCCCCTCCCTGGCTCCGGCCCCGGCCCTGACCACACAGGGGCTTCCTCAGCCCAACAGTGCCAGCATCAGCGAGAAATCCTCAGTTTCGAGGTGCAGCCGTCAAAGGACAGAGCTGCTAAGGAAATCAGGTATCTAATCAGGCACCTGTACAGGTAAGCAACTTTGCACAACTAGAGAAGAGCCCTGGGGAAGGGCTTCTGGCAGCAGCCTGTATCGAACAGCCTCGTCCCTCCTGCCCCCAGAAATTTGTTGTTTGCTTCCTGGGCATGAATGTCCAAAACACATCAAAGACCCCAAAATAGCTCTGCTAGCGCTACCGTGTGCAACACAGCCCGGTGCGGCAGCAGCGCGGTGCCAGGGCTCGACCCTCAGCCTGCTGCCAGAAGGGATCCACAGGTGCTGCAATCCCCATCCCCTCCCCAGGCTCATCTACCCCTGCCGCAGCCTGTGCGAAGCTGTCAAGAGAAGCTGCGCACCCGTCATGGCTTGCTACGGCTACCCGTGGCCCGAAATCCTGAACTGCAACAAGTTTCCTGCAGATCACGAACTGTGCATCGCGGCGATCTCCACGGATGAAAATTCCTCGAGCAGGAGAAGTAAGGGTTTTTTTTCTTTTTTCTCATATGTTTTCCCATATGTAACACTGAAAGCTCAAAAGGCCTATGCCTTGTTTCTATTCCTAATATTTCTGGGTTTAAGCTATGTTTAAAAAAAAAATAATTATAAATTCTAGTTTCGTTCTCTCTGGGAACTCCACCGTGTCTAGAAAATTAGCATGAAGTTGACTGCAGCTTGTTCCCCTCTCTACGGTATTCATTAGCTCCCCGGGTGCCGTCAGACCACACGGGGTTTGGGGCAGGGGGAAGAAATTGCTGTAAAAGCCGAACACTCAGGCACAGCTTGCGTGCAGGCTCCAGGCGGCGAAATGTGCTTCCAGCGGAGCTGGGGAGCTGCAGCCCTGATCTTTCAGTTGTGCCCAGGGTTTAAATAAACATGCAAAAAGAAGTGTTTTGCAAGCTTTCTCTTTAAACATTAGGAAACACCACAAAGGGGTATAAGCCTCTGCAGACATGAGTTACACAAGAAAAAAAAAAATCTTTAGGACTGAAAGACTAAATTAAACACCCAGATACTGATGAACACTGGGGGAGATTCAAGAGCAGTTAAGGGGAGAACAGACGCCTCATTTCAGCATCACTGGGTGGAGTCTGGCCATACCAATGGCTTTACCGTTTCATCCAAACTAGGAGATCTTCATTAAGCATTTTCACCGCTGCTTTAACACGCAGCAACACACGCAAGCCTAAACAAAGCACGACAAGCAGCGTCTGCCCCAGCCACAGAAAGGAGAGCTTCACATTTCCCACTCCGGCAGCCTAAGCTGTCTCTCCAGGGACTGGGTAGCTCGGGAGCCACCACTCACAGATGTCAAAACTGCATTATGCCTTTTCCAGCAAAGCTTGACAAGGGTGTTATAACCCAATTTCTGTTGCAGCAGTGCCCCGAGCCAGCTGCAAGGACTGCGAGCTTGAGGAGGCCAGCACTGCCAGAGAGATCCTGGAAAACCTCTGTGCCAACGATTTTGGTGAGTGACCTCCTCCTCCTCTCGGTTGCTGCCATTCCCTGCAGCAGCCAAGCAGCGGCATGGACAGAAAACAGCTTTGTGGTAACAAACTGACTTGGAGGAGCTGCGGCTTTCACAGCAGATCCCAGGGATTTTCAGGTCCCAACTTACCTGCTAGGTAACGGCTCCAGGCAGCACCAAAGGTGAAGACCTGCTTTATTTCTGTGGGCTCTGATTTGGTTTTGGTCTGTGGCTGCTAAATACAAGCACTACTCTGGTTTTCCCTCGGAGACCGATGTTTCAACTGATGCCCATAAAAACCTTTTGGCAAACGCCACGTTAGTTATTTCAAACTTCCATACCGTTGTTCTAGT